TATAGGCCTATCATTTATTTTGATTTTAACATGACAGAACAGAATAACAATACAAGAGTAAATCAACGAAGCAGGATTGCTTAACGTTATAAATAAAATAATGGTCAAGAGGCTCTCCACTTTGAAATACTAAACAGATAACATTGAAATTGTTAATGATAAAGATTTCCTCATTATATCATATATCCAAAATTTAATTGTAATTTTTTTAAAGAATAAAAATTCTTATAGAGGTAAAAAAAAAAAAATATGTAAACTATCTTTTAATGCTACGCTTTAAAATTGTTCCGGCTAATTAAAATTCGGTCGCAGAAGATCCACAGGTAGTTTCCTGAAGTGTCTGACAAAGAAGTGAAACAGAATTATGAAAACAATCCGTACGTGCAATATAATTATTACATAACTTAAGATGGTCAGTGTGCCTACAATTAACAGATATATATGTTTAAAAACATCAACATCAAACATCTCATACATCATTTGGTAACGAAGTTAATACAAAAAAAAAAACCTTAATTCGATTATGGACATAAGATTTAGACGTTTCAACCGTTCAGAGTAAGAAATTTTGCCTGCCAGCGGATATCGGAAAGCAAGTACTGTAACACACTATAGGCCTAAATTAAAGTTTGATGGAGGAAGAGTTCACTTAAAATGTTAACTCAATCTGTCAAAAGACGATTCATAAGGGAAAGCAACTCGTTATTTTATTTACTTCATGCCCTATTATTCCATGGTTAGGATTAACAGGTGGAGTACTGTAGAAACGCAACTTTGGAATTTGAGACAACTGGATTTCGGTGATCGAGTGTATGTAGCTCATCGAAAATCAAAAACGAAAATAATTTATTTAAGAATGAATAATAATTATAATGATTATGACGAAGTTAATGATGATGATGGTGATGATGATGATGATGATGATGATGGTGTCGTGATGATGATGGTAATGATAATAATAATGATGAGGATGATAGTGGTGGTAGGTAGGCCTATGATGATGATGATGACGGTGGTGGTGGTGATAAGCATGATCATTAAAATACAAATGTGTCAACGACGACATCGCGACGATTTTGGTTTTGTTTCACAATCATTTTCCAGTAGCATCGAATGTCCTTCATCTTTATAACGTAATGACGACATAGGCCTTTCATGTACTCACGGACTCCCAAGTCATAGAAAAGGATTAAAACCACATAAGGTCGCTGGTTCGATTACGACTCTGGTCACTTGCTTATGCTTCATTGATTGCTATCTCAATCACTAGGCCTATATATATTTCTATGCCGTTGAACCTTGGGAAAGAACATTTTACGTAATGTATGACAATAAAGGCGAACCGGAGTTAAACCTTTATGGATACAGTGCTGAACAATGGGCTGTAAGTTTGAAGTTCTGAACTCGAAAAGTTGTGAAGCGTGTAGTTAAGACTCGAAGTCAGAAAAAACTGAAAGCACTTTTCCACATTGTAAAAACAACATGTAAACACATGTTGTCCCGTTTTTGGTGACACGTTTAATAGCTAATGTGTTTCTGACGTGTTTAACGTTAAATGTGCTTAGGTAATTGACATCATGATGTCAAATACCTAAGGACATCGAATGCTAAAGATCCTAAATACACTAAGGTACGTCTAAACACGTTTTAAACGCGTCAACAAAAACGGGACAACTTTGAGTGGAGCTTTGTGTCTAATTGCACCACGCTGTTTTTACAGTGCAGGTATCTCTCTACTAAAGACGTAAATGTCAATGCAATGATAATTAGTTAGCAAAATCATGCCTATAAAATACTATACAAGTGTTATGATGATGATCACGACGATGATGACGAAGATGATGGTGGAGATTATGATGACGATAATAGAGGAAGGTGAGTGTCGATGACGATGTTTGTTCTTGGTTTTGCTATACGATCGTTTTACAATTGCATTAATATTTACGATGTCGATGGTGATACCGTTGGTGGAAAATTATCTCAAGCAGCGGCACCTATAAGTTGTAAAAATTGCAATAACAAACTGCAGAACAACAGTTAAAAATGTGATAACAGGCTTGATACCCGGTATAATATTGAAACTGACTGATTACTATATTCTGTAACAAGAAAGTCGATTTAAAAAAGAGGTTTTCTCGCATACCAACAGTCCAATAATATTCGAGAGAGCATTAATTTTGATGGATAACGACTTCCTTTCAATACATAATTCACTATAAGATGACGGTTCACAGGGGACGAACGCCGATTCCCTATCCTCAGCATCTGATTCTTTCCTCCATGCTCCCCCCCGCAAGTTAAGGTTAACAGGTGCATAATAAAATAGCGACACACGGTACGAGGCAACATATGAACATATCGGAGCACTGTTATTATTACTAGACACATAATCCATTTCGGAACTAGACTAAATAAATCAGCCTAAATTTACCTACCGTCGGTAAACATACATGACGGATGGAGTACAGAGAATTAGGTGTAGAGCTCCTTTGATGATGGGTAAATGATGATGATAATATTAATAATAATAATAATAATAATAATAATAACAATACGATACGATACGATATTCTTTATTGTCATTTGAACAAAAGGGTACAAATGAAATTCAAGTGATTGATCAAGGTACAATTTCAGAGAGGAATAAAGAAAAAAGTAAACTAACAAAGAACTCCAAAGAGATAATAATAATAATAATAATAATAATAATAATAATAATAATAATAATAATAATAATAATAATAAACAAAAGGAAATTTAATAATAGTATTACAAAAGAAAAAAATCCAAAAATAATGATTATGATTATTATTATGATAATGATGATGCTGGTAATAATAATGGTGATATGCGCTTGATGTTTTAATATTGTTTCAGGTACCTGATGTAAATCAGCCTTGTTGAAGGGGTCGCCCTCATAAAAATGCGGTGAATATATAAACAAATAGAATCTCCTGTAGAGGTAAGGGGGTACGCATGTACACGTGTGACGCAATAAATCACAACCTCTCAAATATTCACTTATCACAAGAGAAGTTTATTTTATTTCGCCACCACCAACTTTTTGTCAAAGTTTTTGTGAAAGACAAACACAAAGAAATGATTTAAGCAGGAGATAAAAAGGCACTAATAAATTGACTCAAGTTAAAAGGGTTTTCATGAAAAACTCAAATACACCTGTAACATAACATGCTCGAGCAACTTTCAATAAAAGGCAGACCTACCTGTGTTAAAATCCTATAAAACACTAACCCTTTTCTTATTTTCCCAGGGCATAAACAACCTCACTCTTTAAGAATAAAATAGAGCGTGACGTTGTTCTGTGATCAATGTCACGCTCCTTGCTAATGGATGTGAAACTGCTAATGTTTTAGATTAGAGCTACATTGATATATATTAAAAAAACTTTTTCAATAAGTAAACCATCAACATAAAAATTACACTGATTCACTTATGGAAAATTAAAACAGCTTTAACTATTCTATGTGTTTTTATTTATTTTGTTTGTGCTTTTGCGCGAAATGACCCCTCACGAGACACGAATTTCCACTACATAGAAATATGCAAGTACAGTAAACTAAGTCTGTTTCTAACGAACCTGAAAGAGTGTAGCCTGATAGGCCTACCTTTTGTGGGACCATGGCTGACAAAAGATGTAAATTGATAGACTATTTCATCTTGGTTTTGTCGTTTTTGTTAAAGCATTCGATTTTCATCGATTCGTCAGTTTTTCACCATGTTGCGACAATCCATATTATCTATTATAACAATAACATTTTCGTTATACATGTCCATCTATTAACAAGAATCACAGAATTAATTATTTTTTATTTTCCTAATCATAATTGCTTGTCAATTTACTTATTATTACGATACGTAAAAAAGAAATAAAAAAGTTCTTATGTATCTTTATCTTATTCTTATTCATCAACAGTAAGTCAATTCAAAAGTATAATGACTGAAACCCATTGAATCCAAATACTGTACGATGCAGTGGGAATGGCTTAGCAATTACTGAAAGAAGGTCTGTTAGGCTTCCTGACGCTTTACAAAATACACACACAGTAATTAATAGGAGGATTAAGCTAAAAGGTATGAAGACACCTAAATCCCCTAATGAAGACGCTTTATTATGTTGTCATCGGTCATTATCGATCGGTATATCGGTCATTATCGATCGGTATATCAAAACGTATAGGCCTGATCATCTGGTTTACTGTTCAAATATTATATGGAATATACAGAGCATTTTTTTAAAGCAAAACAAACAAAAACAGGAGAAAATACTGCATATTCAAACATAGCTCGTGTTTTATTATATAAAGTTTTTACACAGTAACTTTAATTTTTTCTACATTTTGGACAAGTACCCTTTGGCTGTACGTCCGTTTTACACTATGCCTGATCCCAACAACCCAGTAAGTGGTAATTTCTTGATTATGATATTGTCTTCAGTTTGTGAGGAATTAAATGCCATTTTTCAAATCAAGTTTTTCTTTATCACAAGCAATTTTTATAATAAATAAAACAAACATTATTGTGTTTACTTTATAATTATATCGGGTTAAATATTAGATATTATAAATTTGCTTAAAAAATATACTGTAAAATTCAACTAAAAAAATAAAATATAAATTGTTATATTGAATTTTACCATTTATTTTTTACAACACAAAGAAATTATCGAACTCGTATGATATGTTTATGAGAGGTGAAGAGATATTGTCAGGAGCCCAGCGTATTCATGACCCAGATTTGCTGGTAGAGAGAGCTACACACCATGAAATACGTAAGTACATTATTGGAATGGACTTGTAGATTGATAATTTTTATGATAGTACCATACTCTGCTGTAATTTTAATTTGTTATTGAAAAGCATCACAAAGTTACAATTACCACACATTTATGTACCAAACATATATTTATATTATATATATATATTATATTAAATCTGTCTCTTATACACATCTGGATTGTCTTCCAGTCACGTAAGTGCACCTTACCTTAGATCATCCTCATCTCCCATCTCAACACCATTTTCTCTCAGCATCTTGACACCTTCCGAGTAGTTGAGCATAAGAGGTGGGTCAAGGAATTTGAAGGGCTCAGCAGGAAACTGCTTACCAATGGTCTTAATCTCAGTCGCGTACCTTTTACTTAAGCCTTCAAAAATGTGGTTGAACATTCGACCAATAACCATCACAACCTAAAAAAAATAACAAAACTGAAGAAATGCTTCTATACCTAAAGATCTAAAACCTGTATATAGTCCAATTACATCACATGAAATGTTTAGTCAAAAGTTTGTTATTATTTAAGAATAAATAAACTATTTGTAACATCTCACCTCATGATAATGATAGTTAAAAGCCATTTCAACATCCAAACCAACAAACTCAGTCAAGTGACGATGAGTATTGGAATCTTCTGCACGGAAGACTATCAGATAAGATAAAAAAAAAAGTCACTAGGATTTGAAATACAGTAAAAAAAAAAATTTCTTTGATGTAACACCTACTATGGGATACTATCTTAGCCACAAAGCCATAGAGAATATATTTGTTTACACTACAGCTAATGCCTATTCAGGGCCACTTCTTTAAAGGGGACAATTTATTGGTCCCAAAGGTGTCCACCTAGTATGGGTTTTTATACAGGTCATGGGAGCATGTAAAATAATGTTAATAATTTAAATTCATATGTGATAATAATAACAGCAACAATAATAGAAATAGTAATAATAATTATATTACAGCATTACATAGTTCAGAAGTAGTACAACCATTGAAGGTGAAGACGAATGAAACACATAAAAAAATTAATGACGTATCAACTAAAAGTAATCTTACCTCCTCCGATGGTAAAGACTCGATCAAAGTCAGCACAAATGGCCATCTGCTTGTACAGCTGTGGGGATTGGGCAAGGCAGGCTTTAGTTTTGAAATAGGAAACATGGAATACATTTGCACCACCTTCACTAGCACCTGCAAAATGAAAAACAAGTATGTTGTTTTTTGTTGTCTTTGGTGAAATAAATGTCACGATTGATTGATTGATTGCTTGATTGATTGATTGATTGAAATAAAAAGAACATTATTAACATAAGTATAACATTCTCTGTATTGTGAGATTTAGTACGCGGATATAATGTGTGTACAATCTGTATTTTCTTGTATATTCCACTTAATGTTGAAGACGCCACCAATTACAAGAAGAAATAAAGCACATTTATATGGTGTAATAACAAAAGACATTCACTATTTAATATATATTATATTATAAACTAATTTATTTATAATCAATAGTGGCATTATTTGACCAAAAGTTATAATGCTTAAACCTAACTGACTCATAATTTGGATACAAAGCAAACATAATTTACTAGAGGTTAACGTTCATTTTCACATTACAATGGTAAGAGGGGGAAAAGATGAACTTTGCTCAAGTTTATCATTTGTATAAATCAACTATTTTTTAATTTAGCTCTTCAGTCCTTTGACCATAAATTATCAGCCTGCAATGTACCTGCTATAATCTTTGGTGTATGTATCTCTGTGAATTGTTGAGCTCTTAACGCTTCACGGAATAACTCACAAACACCACCCTCAACTCTAAATATAGCTTGGTTAGTTGTAGTCTAGAAGAAAAGATGCAGTACATTAATTATATATATTAAATGAGTATGTGATCCTAAATAAAAAACAAAACAATGAAGTATACAGTACTGTCAAAATGAATTTTCAAGTTCCTGTTTTAGTTCCGAAAAGTATAATTATAATGGACTTTTTGCTAAGGTCCACCCTTTGGATATTGATTAAAGTATACATCTATATATTTTAAGTCTGAATGTAATTCTTTTATTCCTTTTTAAAATGTAAATATCTTTATACCCCATTAGATGTGAGGCTGCATTGGATGTGAGGCTTTAATGCAGGGCATAGACTTACACACTGGATTCTGGCGTGAGCTCATGCCAGACAGCTGTTCACATTTTCATGGCTGGTTCACTTTAAAATTTAATCAAACAGAATATATATAGGATTTCAAAGCTAACCCTGAGGTCAATGATTCTGTTGTCCAGTCTTGTGTCCTGGTTAACAGTTGGTCCCTGGTTACCATCCTCATCCTCGGTAACTGGTCGTGATGCATCTTCAATTTGTAATGGCAGCCTGGCCTCAGCAGCACTGATGACAAATAACTGTTGAAAAGCAATATATATACTTATAACGTTGTTTGAATGTTTGCAAAGTGAATTAACAATAATAAAAAATGCTTGTTGCACAGCATGTAGATAGTTCCCAAAACATGTCTGTATTCATTATTTTTCATTATTCATTATTGAAGCGACTCAATCGAAACATTGGGACACTCTCAGTTCTTTCCAGAACTATCAATTTGGTGTACCACAAACATTAATTATAACATTCTTTTTAAAGTTGTTTAAGTCTCTTGGTCTTGGAAGGGGCAGAGAAGGTTTGCAGATGATTGTGTGTACATAATATGCCTGATAATGTTTATGCAGTAAATTTTCGATATTTAAGCATGTTATGTTAATTCTTACAACATTTATAATGACAGTTGTTGAGCTTGTATTCTATATTCAATATGAATAATGTGATAATGGCTTCAATTACAATACATAGATTCATAGATGGTCAAAATATATAATGTATGATTGTATCTTGAAAATGTCTCAAAGTGCTTTATTATTTTGCTTGTCATTGGAAACAGTAACATTCATAGAGAATGTTAAGCTTTCTTGAAGCATCTGTTCCCTAAACACCCCTTCGAAAAGAATAGAACAGTCCCACCGAGGGCACCACATACGAACCATCTTACTAACAAAAGTCCTCATTCCTTGGACAATTTTAATTTTATTCAAAATCACTATCAGCTGGCAGCGGGTTCGTAACAGGTACAAAAAATTATTGCTATGGAAATGTTTTTAAAATAAGAGGCTGTTACCTGTTGTACATGAAGCTCCACATCTTGCTGACTGCATCCTTCAACTTTCTGTGTCACCTTTCTGACAACACCTTCAATGTCAACAATTGACTCCTTGGTAATGCTAGCAAAATAAATTCACCAAGTGTGAATAAGGGCTAGACAATTTGTGTAATGTACTTGAAATTAGATATTAATGAATCATCCATGTACTTAACTTAAAACCCCGATAAAAAAAATTATAAATAGGTAACAATAACTAGAAAGAAAGCCCAAAGTGGACTGACAGGGTGGACGATAGTATTGCAACAATTGACTCCTTGGTAATGCTAGCAAAATAAATTCTCCAAGTGTGAATAAGGGCTAGACAATTTGTGTAATGTACTTGAAATTAGATATTAGTGAATCATCCATGTACTTAACTTAAAACCCCGATAAAAAAAATTATAAATAGGTAACAATAACTAGAAAGAAAGTCCAAAGTACATATCTGAATCTCAGTTTCCATACAATCGCTCACACTATCTCTGACAGGGTGAACGATAGTATTACAACAGATTGAAACAGAGGTTAAAATCATAAATATGTACTAATACGATTCTTACAATATGTAATTATCCAAGATTATGTACTGACTGATCTTACTACAGAAACTGCAGGAAGACCAGACTTACTAGAGTATAAAGTTTCTATATCAGCAGTCTCCAGTAAACTCATAGAACTGATATGTAACACCAAATTACACTGTTGCTATAGCAATTTCAATTATAGACATCTAAAAATATTTTAAGTGACACAGTGTTAAGCGTATTACTTTGCAGCAAACTTGACCATCCCTTTACTGACAATGTCTCCGACGGCTACCAGTCCCTGGATAGTAAACTGCTGCTGACGAAGAACTATGAAACACTGCTTTCCTGTACCAAATTTATAAAAAAGAAATTAATGGAATGGAAACTTAAGCTAATACATACATTTTACTATTTTTGTCCATTATCAAATATCAGGGTTTCTGTATTGCCTATACAAACAATCAACATAATGTACTATTTTTTTTTGTACAAAATATACACAATTGTAGCACATGACTAAAAAAAGCTTGCTTTACAAATTTGAAAAATATATAAAAAAATACAAAAAGAAAATGTAAAAACATGCGTCTAAAATTACAAAAGAATGCACACATTAATACAAATAGAAATATCGCAAATTGAGTGAAGTATTTTAGTCCTTACCTTTGCTTCTGCTTGTGTGCAGTCTTGCCCGCACCCACACCGTCTCACCATCCTTCTCTTCTACAAGGGTTTGTAGCTTCACAAGTGTACGGTCTAAAAGATAGGAAATGCTCTCAATATATAAAATTATCTATCATCTTAATAAGTGCCTTTTGTATATTTTTATATGTACAGTTTCGACAATTGCTATTATGTTCCATGTAAAAATATCCTCGAATAAGAGGGGATTGAATTGGAGGATGTATTGTATTTCCATTCATCAATGAAAAACTAAACTGGTACTAATAAAATTAATTTGTGTTTAATTATCATTCCTTTTTCTGAAGCAAGAACAATAAGTTAGTAGCAGATATTCAATTACTGTATCACATACCGACAACAGTCTTTGACTGTATTAGTGGTGCGATGCCATAGCGATCTTTTGCAAAATCATCCTCTTCGGTAGCCTCTGCCTCAGCTGCCTGATGAAGTGGAAAAACACAAAATTTACAAACAAGTAACAATACCAATGGCAATAAAATTGATTTTTTTTCTATATTAAATACAAAAAGAAAATGTCCTAACTTACTCAATTGAACATAATTGTTAAAAAAAATTTATCTGGTTTATTCTGGTTTAGCAATTTAAACAAAAACAAATTAGAATGGAATATTAAAAGGCAGTATAATAATAATATATTACTTTTTGAACTTGTTGTGCAATATAGTATGCAATTATAGTGAAGTCCTGAGGACCATAGAAAATAGAGGTCAAAAGAGATATATTTTCCTGAAAAAATTGTCTGAAGCCCACAGGGGATAGGAAAATTATGTGCAAAAGAAAATGACAACGTAACAACTGACTTACATTACATTACTGTAAAGTTGTTTTCCTAATGATGGCTACCGTATGTTGTAATAGTGATATAAACTTTCTTCCTTAGGCAAGACTTTTTTTTATACCATTTTGGGGAACCCACCGCATGTCAATAATGATGATTTTGAATAAAAAAACAAAAACATGGAAATTTCAGAAAAAATAAAAGTTGTTCTTTATTTTTATTACACCCGCCGCTGCACTGAAATCTCCAAAAACAAGATGTGTGTGTTTCTTCCTGAATACTGCTAAATACCGGGATGGTGTCCGGTGGGGAATAGTTTAACCAATTTAGTTAAGAGTAATATACTGTATTTAAGAGTAGTTAAGCCTAGCTTAAGGTAGTTAGGGACGTCCTGGGTACGACATTAAACTTCATCCGGTCGAGGCGTCGGCGACTAAACTGACAACCCTCTCAGATATGTCTTAGTGGCTGCTGAGGGGAGGGTGTTTATGGTCACCCAGCAGCAAGAAAAACCAATAGCTGAACAAAGGGCGGATGAGCTCCTTGGAGTCAATGGCCAACCATTAACTAGTTTACGAAATAGGAATAGTTTAGTCTCATTGTTATTATTGCTATTATGATTATTATTTTTTTATTTTATTTTAATTTTATTATTTTATTGTTATTTACATTTTCTCAGTTGGCCTATATTATTTCTTTGTAAAGCGCTTAGGGGCAATGTGCAATATGCGCTATATAAATATAACATTATTATTATTATTATTATTATTTACATTCACAAATAAAATTTTATTTTAAATTTCTCCTACTCTGGAGGTTTTTGGCAAAACCATTTGCAAATTATTTTTTTTTTTCGCCATTCTCTGATTATCTTAAAAAAAATAAGTTGGCAAAAAGAGCTATAAAAAAGTCTCGCTTAGACCCTACTGTGCAAATTATACTTTAAAAATTTCATAATCTAGTGTAGATTTACCTGTTTTGCTGCTTTCTCAGCCTTCTTGGCAGCCTTCTCTGCTTCCTTCTGTTGTTTTTTTAAAGCTTTTTTAGAGATTGGTTGTCCATCAGGCCTAGAGAATAAGCAAAGTACTGTAAATCATGCCATTTTATTCAACTTGGCTTCTAAAATAAAAAATAGGCTCCCAGCCTGGGGTTTAGCCAGAAAAATGATATAGGCCGTCTAAAATGAAAGCCAGTGGGCGTAGCACTGAGCCGATGGGCCCACGCCTATGGGAATTCTCACCGAATATTGGTACGGAAACAACGTACATTCAATCAATAAATGTTGTTTTTATCAAACATAAATATGATTTAGCTTTAGTTTAATGTAACATTTGAAGGATTTGAAGAATATAAAGAATTTGCTAAAGGTAGACCAGGCCCAATTAGGCTAGGCTGAGCTAATTAGGCCAAGCCATCACAGTAAAAGTGGCCATCCTAAATAATTGTAGACCGTCCAAAAGACGGCCGGACGGCTCACTGGCTAAGCCTAAGCTTTCAGCGGGAACATTTTTCTACTGCTTGACATATATTTTTTTTTAATACTTTCAAATCAACATTTTTTGAGGCTTCGCCACCCCCACCAGAATCAATTTCAAAAGATTTTAGGCGACACCCACAATGTACACTTTGCTCTTGACAGAGACATCGGACCACCGTCAGGCAAATCCTGGCACCACCCTTTATAATTGGTAGGACCTCCCTAGTCTAGATACACTAGCTAGGGCTGCTACAAGTCGACGACATACTGTACAACTGACCAGCGGGCCAATGACAGATACCAACATAGGCTATACATACTAAAGTAATGTAAACTGGAACTCTTACTAATACTACTTAAGAGTAACCATTAAAATCAGTAGCTCTGCCTACAGTAGTCTACAATTGTCAAATTTAGTGAAATCAAACATCTAGTCCTACCAACATAGAACTTAATTTTGACATCACGAAGCAACTTGGCTCACAAAATTATAAAGGAATTGGCTCCAAATTCGGCAGACTTTAAACTCTTCCAATTTATTAGATCACATATTGAGATCGCAGTAAAGTTGAAAATGCAAAGCCCATTCTTTAAACTTGTTGTTCGCTGTTGCTAAAAATAAACAGCTCGCTAACTGCGGCTAAAAATAAACAACACCGCAGTCCATCCCTAAGAGACCCGCCCAGTGGGCTGATCGGATTGTTAATTCGCAGCGTGAAGACTTGTGTGTTCCAAATATGAGGCTGAAAATAGGCAACACCTCGGTCCGTCCGTAAAGAGACCCACCTAGTGGGCTGATCAGATGGTTGATTCACAGCATGAAGGCTACATGTTACACAGGGACTCTCGCTGCTAAAAGTAATTTGTTACATAAATAATGCATTACAAGTGTGCTATCTTGCTTGTGATAGGTGTGTTTGGTTGGATTGGTTGTTAGGCAAAAACTAACCTACGACATCAAGAAAGAAAGTTTAGGCAAAGGCTGGCCCAGCTCAAGGTAAAGACCAAAGCCTAGGTGCCTACTGTACAGTATGCCTACTAACTATAATTTGTCCCCTTCCCTTTGATTATTTTGATGTAATGTCTGATTTCTTTCACCGGAATATAGGACTATAGGTTTAGTTTTGGATAGGCCATTGAATCATAGGGAATTCCCAAGTATAATCCTGTCTCCCCCTCCCCCTCACAGCACCCCAACCCCTACCCACCTAAAAAAAAACAAAAAAACCTCCTGCCCTCATCAATTTTTCTTTTGAAAGAGAGTGATAATCTAATAAATTTTCTAATGTATGTGCCCTGACCTAACTACTACTACTGTAAGTGGGAACCCCACTCAACAGAAGAATGACTCCCAAAACCATTCAACATAGGCCTAACTCATAAATAAAAATAAAAAATCTCTCTCCCTCATCACTTTTTCTGCCTACGAGATAGGGTGATAAAAATAACAATTTTTATTGGGCCTCATATATAGGCTACAGGCCTAGCTTAGGCCTGGCCCTCTCTCTACATCTAATTAGGCTAGGCCTAGGCTTGGAAAGTTCAGGAGGCCCAACCTGCAGTGCTAGTAAAGCGGCCTAGGCCTAAGCCTACTTCAGAGAACATATTGCTGGATGCTTTGTATCTCTACTCACCCCAAGGGCATTTCGGCTTGGCCATCTGCAGACATCGCAAACAAAAATTTGGCAGATAGACAAAAATGAGGTATTTATATAATTGTAAAACTTTGGTATGATGCAAGAAGATGAAACTCAGAAAGCATTGACAACACGTACTTCTCGAGCAGCAACGTGTAGGGACGGAAGATCCCTTTAAAAATGGCTAGCGCCACCAACAGCGTACCTTTCTCTTTTTCTCTAAGGTCGGCTTGAAAAATAATGCTTTTCGTAGGATAGTTTGGTAAAATCTCATGATTTATTCATAATTGTCCTTAAAGGACATATTTGCGCATGCTCGATGGTCAGCCTGAATGATCAGCTGATCTGCACTTAGCGATGGGACAGGGACGTAGCCAGAATTTTGAAAGTGGGTGGGTGGGGGAGGAACCGTTATGCATGGTACGGAGGACCCTGAGGGAAGGGTGTTCCAGGGGCGAATCCCCCTGGAAAGTAGCGCGCTCTGGAAGTTTTTAGGGCTGTTGTGAGATGATAAAGTGACAATTTAAATAAACGCATCATAAATAATATTAGTAAGCCTAACAATAATTATAAAAACACCCAACAGTGCAGTGGATCCAGGAATTCAATAGAGAGGTGACCCAGGGGGAGGACTTTTACAAATTGAGGAACCACCCACCTCAGCCCCCACCATGGTTGGGGCTGAGGTAAGAACATTTATGATTAGGGCACCTTTAGATGGCCGGAAATTACTCTCAGACTTAAATTTGGATATATTTTTCTTTTTTTTCCATTGAAAAAATTTAGGGGGGGGAGGGCCTTGAATCCACCACTGCTCAAAACATTCTTTATCCAAGATAGTCATAATCACGAAAAATGGGCATGCAAAAGTAACCAGATCACATCCTAAAAACAAATTTATGCATTCTCGCCTCCAGTCATCAGCAGTCACTAAGACATACTCGAGTCAGGTGTCGACTCGATGGAGTTTAATGTCATACCCAGGAAGGGCACAATTTTGAAAGGTGGAGGTGAGGGAGGGGGTAGACATTTCGTGAGTCGACACCCACCTCAAACCCTCCATGGTTGGGGCTAAGGTACGAAAATTTTAGGAAATAAGTACCTCTAGATGACTAGAAAATGACATTTTTAGTAAAATTCATCATCATCACATCACCATTATATATGCTCAAAATGAAGCGCCAACAAATTTCTCATGATCTTTTGTCAGGGATTTTCGGCAACCATTTAGATCTTATTAATGTGTGATGCACCATAGAAAATAAAGCTTATAAACATTGTTTTTGAGTACTGTATGCTCTTTACATACTTCAAAGTCGTAATTTCACAAGCACCTCTAGCCCCTTGGGGCTTAGGTGCGAAAATTTGAGGAAATAGTACCTCTAGATATGGCCGGAAATATTATTAATATTATTATCTATTATTACCATCGTCATCATCATCATCATTATTATTACTAGTAGTACTGTAGTATTAAAACAAAACTTTATAGAGCTTGCAAAAGGATAAAAACCAAACTGAACCATACAATAACATATTTCTGTATCTGAAAGACCTGGCCTGGGACTTATGGATTTAAGATTTTTTTTAAATCACGTTTAGGCCTCTGTGTTATTATAGTAGGCCTATGTATAACGTGTGCTGATGCATATTTACATTGATTAGAAATATTTATTTTGAGTGATCCCTGGAAATTTGTATTGGCTAGCAAGAACAAGCTTTAAAATTGGGGCTCCAGGGGGTGGGGAAGCCGCGGCCCCCACGGCTCCCCCGCCCTGTATTCGTCCCTGCGATGGGACCTAATTTTCAGCCCTTTTATGGGCCTTGTATTTGAGTGATTTACTACACTCAGTAGCATCTGAATTTTAATACATTACATTTACTGTCAGTCTGCAAATACAATACTAATAGGCGTTCAATTAAAGTTTATTAAAATAGTATTTTGTATTTTCAGATTGACAGTAAATGTAAATGTATTAAACTTCAAAATCTACCCTCAATCACTTGTTTTATTCTTGCAATTATTCAAATGCAAAGGCTGAATCCCGAGGCCATAAAAGTGAATAGAGCTGACTTGAAAATAACACTTGCGCAAAATTATGTTCTATAAGGGTGATTATGAATAATTCATGAGATTTTACCAAACCATCCTACGAAAAAAAATTCAGACGGTTTTAGTAGTAGTATTTAGTAGTAGAAAAATTTGTAATGACATTATTTTAGGTAATTTTATAATTATGAAATATTTAAAATTCATAGTTGTTAGAAATAAAAATTAAAAAAAGAATTTACTTGGCCGATATGGGGCTCGAACCCATGACATTCGCGTTATTAGCACGACGCTCTGCCGACTGAGCTAACCGGCCATGTGGTGCTTAATAAATTTAGTAAGGCAACCTTGAATCCTTGGTCTTAATTTTATAGCAATTAATATTTCCATATTTCTGATGATCAGCCTAGAACTAGGTATAACTAAATATGATCCTGTACTTAGCTCTATCTATCAAGGAGTGGCTCCATGACATGTGGAAAAACTAAGTAGAGCGCTTTTTATTTATTAGAAGAGTAGGCTTTATGCATATGCATGACCTTCTTGCTTTGTGATGGCGTATAATCTCTATCTAGGTAGGTTCACATGACCATAATTTTGTAAATAGCATGAGGGGGAAGGCCACATCCCCACCCTAGGTCGGAGAAGCCTAGCACCCCCATCCCCTTCCCCTATAGATAGAGCCTACAACAGTGAACACCTTACACACTGCACTGCTCGCACTAAACCAGTTTTTAACAACTTATGCCTACCTGGTTTTTAATCCCTAATTGACAGCTTACTTAGTATAAAGCATCCTAAATTGTACTTTCGGCTATCGACATTTCATTTTTCCCCGACGACCTTGCTGGAAATTCCACGAGACAGGGGGTCCAAGCCGGAGGTCCAGAAGTCCCAGACGAGGGGTCCTTTGCCCCTCTGGACCCCCCAGCGCCGCCGCCCTGAGCAGATTATATGCCTTCACCTTAATTTTTAAAAAATTATAAAATAATTAAATGAGGAAATAATATAGGCCTACATTTGAATTTAGAGCTCTGTCCACACTATCAAATATTACGTGACAAATAGGCCCTAAATGTGATAGGCCTATTCCATTATTTAGGTCACGTCTCTATGACAATGACATCATCATTATGCCCACCCATGATAGCTGTCTGCGTGCGTGACCAGGGCAAGCTAACAATTCATAGGTTTATATTTAATGTCGTTATAAATCATAGGCCTACCTAAAATTCGGATAAACGCCCCATCTTGAATAAACGGCCCTTATTTTTTCCTCGAATAACCACCCGCCACCCCCAAGTGATAAAGAAAACCAATGTAAGCAGAGCACCATTCTCCAACACATTTAATTAATGTTCTAGTCCAGTAGAATTACATTTAGGGCCTAGGCCTATTCTAACTGGTTAGGATCAATAATTAAGTCCAAGGGACTTGATCCGTTTTACACCAAAAAAATTAACCCCCAATAAACGTCTTCATGAATAGACGTCCCCTCAAATGAGGTGTTTATTCGAGCAAACACGGTAACTTAAAAAGTAGACCTATATCAAGTATCAATGTTTAAATAAACTATCGTAATAAAATTAACGTAGGTCTACTCAAATATTTCAAATAAACATTTGTTAAAGTTGATTTTTTCAACATGCGTCTTATTCGTAGTGAGACCTCATATAAATTTAAACACGGTTCTTCAGATCTTAATTGAAAAAAATGATACAATAATCGACTTAATTCGGTCCTAGACCTGTCTCTTATACACATCTAGATGTGTATAAGAGACAGACTTTATAGAGCTTGCAAAAGGATAAAAACCAAACTGAACCATACAATATCATATTTCTGTATCTGAAAGACCTGGCCTGGGACTTATGGATTTAAAATTGTTTTTTAAATCACGTTTAGGTCTATGTGTTATTATAGTAGGCCTATGTATAACGTGTGCTGATGCATATTTACATTGATTATAAATATTTATTTTGAGTGAT